TTTTGGTGGTGGTTATAAAGAGGAGGAGAGAGAGAGAGAGAGAGAGAAGTAGTGGAATAGGAAATGGGAAAAAAGGAGAAGGGGATGAGCTTAAAGCTCGAGCTTTTTTCTGTCTCTTTTTTTTTCCTTTTTTGTTTTTTTTATTCTCTCTTTCTCCTTCTATAACTACAGTTTATACGCCCCAGTTATCATTGCTTATAATACTGCAGTTCATTTGACACGTATCGAGAATACATAAAACGCATACACACGGACACTTTTCTCTCTCTCTCTTTTTCTTTCTCTTTCTCTTTCTCTCTCTCTCTCTTTCTTTCTTTCTCTCTTTCCCTCTCTCTTTCTCTCTTTCGTTTTCTCTTTCCGTTTTAAAAGCATATCTGGTTGAGTAAAAGAAAGATAGACTTAACTCGTATCAAAAATACACGAAACGCATAGTTACCTACACACAGATACATTAACATTTATACTAACTCTTTCTCTCTCACACACACTCAATTTTTAAAGAATATCTAGTTTGCAAAGTAAAAAAAAAAAAGAAAAAAAATGTTCATTTGCCAGATTTCCAAGAGAATTTCGAGATATCTTAGCATCAACTTGCTCGAATTTACTACCGACAAATCTTTGTTCTACTATCGTTGTCTACGTTCTTGTTCTCTCTTTCTCTCTATGTTTCTTTTTCTCTCTCTCTTTTTTTCTCGTTTTATTTCCCTTTTTTACTTTTTCTCTTTTATTGACAAGACATACTTCTCTTACGTCAGTTAAAGAAAATGCTGCAACAGCTTGTCCGTCTCTCTTTCTCATTCTTTTTCCATCTCAATATGAACCATAAAGTGTTCACTCGAATTTAATATAGGGGAAATATAGATAGTGAAAGAGAAGGAGAAAAAGAAAATGAATTTTTTTTTGTTTCGTTTTTTTTATCTTCCTTAATTTTCTTTCTCACCCTCGTGTAAACCCAAGCACCTGAAAATCAAAACGATTTTTAAATATATTCATTTAATAAAAGTTATTACGAAGTTTGCAAGTTAAAAAGGAAACTTTTTTCTGACATTAATCTTTCTTTTTATTTTTGTTAGGAGAAAATTGTAACGAGAAAAGAGGAATATTTCTTTTAATTTCGAAACGTAAATATACTTAACAATATTGGGATATTTTAACAATAAATTGAACGTGCCCAAATGATAAAATAATGAATTAGTATTTTTGTTGTAACGTGGAAATTAATATTACCATTATTATTACTTTGCTATATTATTAATTAATTATTTTCTTAATTTTTTCCAAAAAAAAAAGAAATACTAATATAATATCTATGAAATTATTATTTATTGTTATATTAGTAATTTAGCTGTCTACGCAGCTATATATATATATATATATTAATGTAATTGCAATATAATTAATTAATATTTTGAGATATAAAATATAAAAAGTAATTAATTAATTAATTTCGTTTAACATTTAAAATGTGTGAAATTACTTTTCTTAATAATTAGTTTTCATCGTTGGTAGATATGTTGTTGTGTTCACATGATCCAATAATCTAATAATAATCCATAACATTTCTACATTCTGGAATTCCTATATATATATACATTTACATATCTATATAATATATACTTACTTAGGTATACATAATACATAGATAGATTAATACATTTACCTATACACTAATGTATCTACTACTTATGTATACATGAAGATTCAATCTTTAGATCAACAAGGTAAGATGGAACAAGTAGGGTGGCCCAATTACGACATCCCTTATAACCACAGTTATACTCATTACCAGCGTTAATTGATATCTCAATTAAGCAACAAAACGGCGAATTAACCGAAAGACAAGACTTTATTTACGGCTATCGATTATCGATTGACCTACATTCTTTTCATTATCGCGAGAAGGGTGAAGCCAAGAGCTCGGTGAATATACTTTATGTTAACTCTTTTTAAAAATACATACGATTAAGCGAGAATCGCAATTACACGTATATTCAGGTTTTTTTTTTTAATATGAGAAAAGCAATGTGTCATAAGAAATAATTCTTTTAATAGTTTGTTTTTCTTATTTTCTGTTCAATGTAATACTCCTTTTCTTATAAACTTTCTTATAAACAAAAAAGATACGTTACAATTGTTATTTATATGATTTGTAAGAAATATTGCAATATATTAATATTTAATATAACTGAAAATGATCAATGATTATATTAATATCTTAAAATTAAAAACATTATTATAATTTTTCTATCAGAAAGATATTTTTTTTTATTTTTTTTTTTTTTCAATTTCTATCAAATAAACATTATATTTTTAATTTACGTGAATTACAAGCGATATTAGAATGTATTAAATAATTGATATAATTTAACAAAGTTGTTCGGTACCGAATCATTTGTAGACGATAAGCTTATATTTAGCTATTTTTCTTATATTTAATTTCAGTTGAAGAAAACCATACGATAAATTTATGAAATCAAATATCATAGAATACGTTAGGCCGTAGGTATAAGGTATCGTTTACTTCAAAGATTCCACTCAAAGATTAAGAAAAATTATGATGGTCATAAATTCTCAAACTAATTCAACGACCATCGAGACATATTGGTGCGATGAAAAGCATGTGCAGTGTCGAGTCCTTCGAGTGGTATGCAATACTTAAGTAAATATGAGACAATATAGATAGGAAGGGTACTATTCATAAAGAAATTCTTTATATTTCAAGAAACCCCCCACTACAATCCTTCCCAAAAACATAAGCTTTCCCATCGGGACACTCTGGTGGGTGGACTTTCCTACTATTAGTTAATAAGTTCATTTAGTTCCTTCCCTCTCCAAAGGGGTGTTACTAATTTATATATAAAAACATGTGAAATCAAGTAAGAACGGTCTGTCCGTTAAAGTCTGTTATATACTTTGTTCATTATACATTCTATTCGTTATACATTTTATGTTATACATTTTACACATTAAAGATTTATACAGTCCACATCAAACTATTGTAACATAGTCGCCAAGACTTAAGTAATAAATCATTGTTGACTAAAGAATTGCCTTTAATATACTACAAAACCACTCACACCGTATTACTTTACCGTCGTGAGACTTTCCGTACAAAACGCGCGTATAATTGCAACTTAAAAATTGTATGTTAGTTTGAAACGGATTCGCGTCAGCATAACGTATAGTGCGCGCAAACAAAAGTTAATGTTAATGTTAAATATTAAGAAAAAATTATCGTAATAATTATTTTTTATTCAGGTTAATTAACTTTTTAAAAATTTTACATATAAATAAAAACAAACAAATAAGCCATAATTATAATTTATGTTACCTTTGTTTTTTCAGGTAAAATAAAGTATTCAGAAAGGGTGTACGATGCGTGTATGGATGCTTTTGATTGTTTACCATTAGCAGCGCTTATGAACCAGCAGTTCCTGTGTGTACATGGCGGATTATCACCGGAAATTCACAATTTGGACGACATACGTAAAGTAAGTTGTTTCTTAATATTATTTTCATTCGTAATTATTTAAAATATTTTTTCAAAAGCTCTTAATACCAGTTGAATGATGAAAAAAAAGAAAAAATTTTAATACAAGTGAAACGTCATATTCAGGAATTTACGAAAAGAAAATTCTAATTGTTTCGTATAATTTTGTTATTGTTCTTATTTCACCTTTCTACACGTAAAACTTTCATTTATATTTTTAAATTTAGAATTACGATAAAATTATTTTTTTTTAAATTTGTTAAATGTTTTTCTCCTTTCATCTCTCCCTTTAAAATTTACGAAATGAAAAAAAAGCTTTCATACGTAGGTAAGATCACATAATAATCTCTAGTAATCACTAACTGACATCTCCAAAATGGCCGTAGAAAACAGATTAACACGCTTGGGAACGGATTAAACTGAGTCCATGCATTGTCCGTAAACGTTATCTGGAAATTCTCTACGTACAATGGACTTAGATTGTCTTTTCAGCTTTATTGAACGACATTGTTCTATAAGATTACAAGTTATATAGAATAACAAAATAAAACAGAACAATTCAACAACAAAGAAATATAAAGGAAAAAAAAGTATCATCATATTTTTTTCTCTCTCTCTTATTCTACGGAAAACAAAGCGCTGATGTTTATCTAAAGTTTTATTAATCCTAATTAAAAACAGAGATTAAAGAAAAGCAATATGACGTTTTTTTTTTTAAGTCGAATAACAGCTGGATCAAATTGTTCGGAAAATAACCAAATTCCCGGTATATCTAAAATTGATTCAATTTAATTCGAAGATTTTAATTTATAGTTTAAAAATTGAAATAAATTGTAACATCCTTTCTATACTATTTGTTCAATGATATTTTTTTTTATTTTAATTTAACAATGGTTATTTCATAATACAACGGATTATTTCTATAATTCTCAAAACTTTTTCGATTCTCGATGACCTCTCGTTGAGTAGAAATTTTTTGAAAAATTTTGTATTTCAATGGTTACACATAAAAATAAGTAAAATACATTTAATAATTAATAAGATGTATGAGACTGTTGATTTACGTAGATTTTTTCAAATTGTTATATTAAATTGAAAATAATGATCCTTCATTGTTAATTTCTTCGTATTGATTTACGCGCGATAATTGAATTTTATCATAGCAATTGTAAAAAAGTCTCCAACATCGCACAAATAAAATATCGCGAATGAAATGATAATGATCAAAATTGTGCGATATTTCGTAACAAAGTCGTATGAGAAAATCGTGATTTTCCAGGTGTGCACTTTTGTACCTTGATGCACATTTTTCGAATCACTATAAGTTATTCTACACAGGATTGTTAAATTTTTGTAAAATAAATATAACAATAAAATATATATTCGTAAATCTCGTATGTTAACGTTTCCACGAAATTTCTTAAGTTTTTAGATAAGTTTATTGAATTCTCAGAAAGATAATGTGAGAAACAAAGGTTTTGTAATATAAACGATTGAACTTGATATCCAGGATAATCGTGATCAAAAAGCTTATTGTATCAAACGGAACAGATTTTATTGTGTCTGTTTTGTCATTCTTATTTTGATGTTGTATCTGTCAGTGTGTGTGTGTGTGTGTGTCTGTCTGTAAATCCTTTGAAATTGAACTTCCTGTCCGATATTTCATCGTGTCCGATAACAGGGAAGCTTCCAGAACGATCTACCCTTCGAACGTTCAATCAAAGCCGAGTGTCATTGGATTCTGATCGTTGGTAGAGTACCGGAAGCTAACCAGGTAACACGACGTGCTGCCACCTGCTCTATCGATCGGGGACAACTCAACTCTATCTACAGGGTGTTCATAAATGACGGACAGCATTGCAACTAAAATTACTTTAACCGATCAAAATGAATATTTTTAATTGGAACCTTCCTCGATTGATTTTTAATTTTCATATAAATATGTATTAAATTTAAATATAAAATAATATTAAATATATATATATATATATATATATATATANTATATATATATATATATATATATATATAATATATAAATATGTAAAATAACTTTAACATATTTAGTCATTTAAGAAAATAAAAACTAAATACCATGAATTGCTGCCGAATAAGGGAAAAAAAATGATTGCGCATAGAAATTTTGTCCATTATTGGTGAACACCCGGTATTACCTGCGTCTCCCCTCTGCTCCCTTTCGTGTTCAGCTTTAATTTGTATGAACGAGCGACGAAATGAGTACGAGTTTCCATTTGTTGCGGTTGCCAGATTTGACCATCGCATCGAATCATTTTAGGACCACCATTAACCCATTTTCCCTTGCTCTTGTGGTCACGCGTTTTAGCTTATCGCGTTTTCCCTGCTAAACGTAATCCTTTAAATCTTCTCTATTTCCCTCTCTTTCTTTCTCTCTTATTCTCCCTCTCTCTTTCTCTTTATCTCAATCTATCTTTCTTTTCCTTTCGTAGTCTTGTTCTCTCGGTTTATTCTCTTGAGATATCTCTGGGTACAAGAGGTACATCTTTTATAGAAATTTTCCTATTCCTTTCAAGAGATGTAAGATATAATACTAAGAACCGAGAAAATAGAGTCTAACTTTCTATTGGAATGTATAAATCTATAGAATATGATGGTCCTCTTGACAAGAAAGGATTCTTAACTTATAAATGTATGTATTGTAGTAGTACATTCTTATCGGGGAACAGTTTTAACAAACTAGATCACAATATGAATAGAAAATAATCGTTTATGTCAATTGAAATTTTATTTTTTAGTCAAGATTGAATTTTTACTTTTATATATATATATGTATATATGTATATCGTATCTTTCTTTTTTTACTACAAAATTTTATACTAAAATTTTTTATACAAAAAATTTATATACATACTAGGATACTCTGACTACGCGTTGTTGTTGCTTTGTTATAAAATGTTGATTTAATATAATTCTAAACTATTTGGCAAATTATAATAACAAACAAAATAATATCACAATTAGAGTGGAATACATAAAATAATAATAAATGAAAAAATATAAAAAATAAGGTTAGTTATGTCATATATAAATTTGAGAAAATGTATAACGTGAATATATCGAAATAATTTAATTGTAATACAGCGCCATCTATTGGAAACTAACAGAACCTAAAGACCTATATATAGATAAGTATTAAATAATAAATTTTATAATTAGCATTAAAAAATAAAAATAGTTACGATAAAAACTATCCTATGAGCTAAGATGAAAAAAAGCATATAAAATAAAAAAAATTTTATTGATGTCGGTTCAGTAGTTTCGAAATTTATTGGAAAACAACAATATGACACTGAATTTATATATATATTATCATATTAATGGTAAATTAGTATAAGAAAAATTTGTTCGATAAAGTTCTTACTGTTATTTATTTTAACTAATTTTGTATAAGTAAATATTAACAACCATGAGAATATTAAGATAAAAGTAAAGAAAATATTATAAAATTATAATAATTTAATATTAATATTACCGACAATAGTTAACATATGGAGACTCAAAGATATAACATGTTTGTTATCTTAAAAAATAAATCGACTTAACCCATTGACTGCCAATTACGAGATATCTCGTAGTGTGTGCTGTAATTTTAGATTAATTACAACTGGTTATTTGCGTTAAGAATTATTAAAAAGATTGAATAAAATATTTATATGGTGCAAAAAACATTAATTATCACTTATTGTAAATACCATTACAATATTATATCAGTAACTTAATATTATTATATTTTTAAAAATTTAAGGCAAGACGCTTTAAATATGTTTGGCAATCAATAGGTTAACTTCGTTGGTACACTACAATTAAAATGTATCGACATTTTCAAATAGATTCTAAGAAAGAATTTAAATATGAATACAATCTAAAATCTAATGAGAATATTTTCCCAGCGATGAAACGATTTAAAAATTACATTTTATTCCCATAAAATTATTCATCTTATTATCGCAATCTCTGAAGAATCGAATAATCTCTATTTTCATTCGTTCACTCGTTCATTTCTTCATTCACTCATTCATTCATTCGAAAGAAGAAGAAAAAGTAACAGCTGATACGAATGAGATTTTCCAATTCATTTCATAGAAAATCTTATGTCACATTTTCTTTATTTTTCCTTTTGTAATTTTATCTCATCAAATTTCGCATTTCCTTTTCTTTCATATTTTTCCATAAATTTCTTTTTGGAACGAAGAAGTAGTTAGATTTTATTCTCGAATTTTTATTTAATCGTTAACGATTCTTTTTTTTATCGTTACCAAAACTCATTTTTTCGATTTGATTCCGTTCAAAATCTAGCGTAATTTTGTGAAATGAAAAAAAGAAAGTATAAGAACAGGAGAGAGAAAAAAAGAGAGAGAAAGAAGGAAAAATAAAAAGAGAGAAAATTGTAGTTGGAATTCTTGGCCAATTTCAACGTAAAATATATCTATGTGTATCGAAAATCCTGTTTCGTGATAACACGAAAATGTCATCTCTTCGTTCGAGTGCAAAAATATCCACCATTCTTATTTTGCGTTGCTCTTATACATATACATATGTACTACGTTCATACATATATACATATATACTGGATGTCTCTGGATTTACCAATCAAACTACGGAAACATATTCTACAAGTGGAAATAAGAAAAAAGATGTTATCTGATATTTAAATAAAAACGTTTTTTATTGCAAAGTTATAAACAAATGAAAATAAAATAGGTATTGTACCGAAATACATATTATAAGTTTTTATATCGGCTGAAATTTGAATTATTGTGAGTAGATACATGATTGTTATGTGAATTAAAAATAAAATTAAAAAAAAATCCTATTATCTGTTTGTAATATTTTTAATAAGAGAACAATTGATCTTTTCTACTGCATTTTTACATGCTAATTCATTAAAGAATTTTACTTGTTTCCGGTAAATCTATAAAAATAATTCTTTAACGCTTTAATAACGATAAACAAATTTTACAT